CACACACACACACACACACACACACACACACACACACACACACACACACACACACACACACACACACACACACACACACCTCTCTCTCTCTCCTAGGCAGATCCTGTGTCTGCAGGCTGACATGATGTGGACCAACTGGGAGTTATGCTGGAGCTCGCTCCACCACCTCAGCTGGGTCTGACAGAGGAGGAGGAGGAGGGGGCTGAGGTCTTAGAGGTGAAGCTGCGCCTAAAGATAAAGCACTGAAGCAGGTTTGGAGAAGATAAAGACAGCAGACACACCAGAGTTTCCCAAATTTACTCCAGAGACAGCGATGAATCTAAAACCTCTGAGATGAGATTCACTTTAAAACATTTCAGCTTCGCTCCGTTTACACTGTCCTGTGAGGAGATGGGAAACACATGAGTACCAGTGGCACCTTCCTGTAAGACAGCTGTTTGTCTGGACTCGGAGCTGCCTGAGCTCTGGGGTTTTCCTTCCATCCTAGAATTTTTGGAGTGTCAAGGTACCCTTGTCCACCTGAGGCTCTGAGATTCCGCAGGTGTACCTCACCCGACCTGTCCGACCTCAGTCCAGCATGTGTCCAGATACTTCGGAGGTGTTATCAAAATTCCTTTAAATTGGTCACATTCCCCTTAAACAACGTTTTCAGTGGGACGTTGACATGGTTCACAGCCACAGAGCAAAATTAAAGATGGAAGCTGGTTCTGGACACCACTTTCAGAAATGCTAACGTTACCGCCGGCTTCACACAAACAGCTGCAGTCATCGACCTGCAGTCTACCAGTGCGACGTGAAACTAGAAACGAGCAGAGCAAAACGTGAGGAAATGCTAGCAGCTGGACGGTAGCAAAACCTGCCGTCCAGCTGAAGAAAGTCGGATGTGCACACAGACACCTGTTAGGTGAAACCTTTTCAGACTTTGGGAGGCCAGTCGGACGTGGTCTCCTGGGCCATACGATCGGCCGTCAGAGATGCCACTCTTACCTGGTAGTCAAGGATGCTGAAGCCGAGGCCTTTGTCTCGCTCTTTCTGCAGCTCCAACACCTGAATGTCCGAAGACCACAGAGCAAGCTCTCCGTCCTCATCCTCCTCATCTCCCTCCTCTTCTTCTTCCTCATCCTGGGTGTAGTGGGTCTGCTCCTCCCTCAGCACCACCTCTACAGGTGAGACCTGCTCCTGACACAGAAACATTTAAACGGCAGTTAAAGCGCGCTCAGCGAGGACATGTTTCAGGACGTTCACACGTAATAAGTGATAAATGGGCTGGTCCTTAAAGACCTCCAACTCTACCCGAGCACTCAAAGTGCTTTGTGCAACACTCTCCGTTCACCAGTTCACATTCACACACATGGATGCGCCCAAGGACACGTTAGACCTGCTCTGCCTCCTGACCCATAAACCTGAGCAGGAAAGGTCAACGAGCCCTTGAAGAGGTCTGTCCTAAAGTAAACTTCATATTCTCCGAGCGATCGCTCTGCGTGATCAGCAGTTTAGGAAGCTAACGCTGCTAGCTCAGGTATTAGAGGCCGGGTGCTTGATTGTTTCATTGAACACTTCCTGTCATGGAGAAGTGTTTTAAGAAATGTTCAGGAATGAACTCAGGATGGAGCTGTCTGGGTTTAATTCATACTCTACAGAGTGACAGCAGGAAGTGAACCTGTCCATATAACAAATACAGTGCACCAGGGTTCGTGATCCTTCTTGCAACACTCCTCTTCAGGAGGTAGAGAAGGAAGGTTGGCAATTCGATCCCTGGCTGCTTTGCTCTGCATGCCAAACATCCTTGGACAAGATATCAACTCCAAGTTGCTCTCTGATGCATCCATCACTTAAGCACTTAAGCATATAAAAAGTGTGTGTGTGCGTGGATGGTAGAATGAAGCATTTTGAGTGCTCAAGCAGAGTAGAAAAGCGCTATAAGAACAACCAGTCCATTTATCATTTGTGTGTGTGCGCGTGTGTGTGGTTGCAGAGGTTACCTGTCTGCCACTGCTATCATCTCTCAGGAGCGTCTGACTGCAGAGCATCGATGACAGCTTCATCTCGATCTGACAGACAGCACACGGTTATTCTCAGAGCTCCAGCAGCATTTCAAACCAAACAATGATGCTTTTAATCTTTACGATCATAACTGCTTATAAACAGCCCTGTTCTCACCTCCTCCACACCCCGCTGCGACTGTCTGGCTGGTCCTGCTTTCGGTTCTAGTCGTAGTACTGGTTCTGGTTCAGATTCGGATTCTGGTTCCAGGTCGGCGATCGGGTGTCGGCAGCAGACCAGAGTGAACGGAGGAGGCACCTCTTTGAGGAACGACACCACTTCTCTGCGAGACTTTCCGTACAGCTGAACGTCGTTCACCTACACAAGAACAAAACATGATTACATCTCACAGTCACACAGCTGCAGTTTGTCTGATGTCCAGCAGAGGGCGACTTTGATGGTACGGTCTGTGAGACAATGAAGCTGACGATGACTTTCAGCTTGCAATCTGACCTCCAGCAGCTCGTCTTCGGGTCTCAGGACTCCGTGTCTGTCGACAGGACCTCCGGGCGCCACCGACGAGATGTAGTGATGACCATCAAAGGAGTCCAACTCGACCCCAAGACGCAGAGTGTGGACAGGCAGCAGCTTCGATGACTTCTGCAGCTCTTCATCGTCTTCGATCACGGGATCCAAATTCACCATCTGATAAAACACACACACACTGACTGAGTCCTGGATCTCAGCAACACTGTGAAGCTTTTAATAATTTTGAATGTCTTGTCTCACCAGGACTTGATAATTCGGTCCAAGAGCCTGCTCCCACTTAGCCCTTAGTTCTGCCTCTGTTGTTACACACACACACACACACACACACACACACACACACACACACACACACACACAAAACAACAGTTTTCTCATCAGCTTCAAAAAGTGTTGCAAACAAATAGTATAGTGTGAGAGTACTGTAGCACTTGGGCAGAAGAACACTGTGATAGTTTCACTGAGATGGTCAGAGCTCAGTGGACCACTGAGAGAGAATTGCTCTGTTCGAACAGACTGTTTAGACTCCTCTATCAGCTGATGCAGAGGTCGTCCAGTGACGACCTGGGGCAAATGGATGTGGGTGGCTATTGACTCCAGACCACCTTCTGACACAGGAAGTCTTTACCACATCATAGCACAGTAGCTCTGATCATTTAAGTCATATGGATGGATGGCTGGATGAATGAGGGATGGATGGAAGAATGGGCAGAAGAAGGGATGAATGGATGGATGGCTGGATTAACAGGGGATAGATGGATGGATGTGTTGATGGGCTGATGGATGGATGGGTGTGTGGATGGATGGATGGATGAATAGGCAGATGGATGGGCTGGAGGATGGATGGAAGAATGGGCAGATGAAGGGACGAATGGACAGATGGAGAGATGGCTGGATGAATTGGAAGATAGGTGGATGGATGGGTGGACGGACAGATGAGTAAATGGGCGAATGAATGGGCAGGTGACCTGACATGAGCGTGACCCCTTGCACTGACCATGGTCATGTGTGACTGTTCATGGATACGCTGAGCCGGCTTGTCGTGCAGCTCATTGGAATTCAACGTGTAAATAAAGTGTAAAGTAAGCAGCTGAGCGTCATACAGCGGTGACAGTCGCAGCAGATTACAGAGTGCCGGCACCTAATTTCTGGGAGGACGGTGCCGCTGCTGAGCTGCACAAAAACACCTCCATGTTCCCACCAATCCGTTCGCATGTCAAAGCGCTCTGAGGCAGCTCTGGCAGCCCTACAACAACAGCCTCTGATTAAATTAGCATTGCTAACCCCGGCCTTCACACAGCAATTAATCTGCAGCGTTTGGCTGAATAAACGGGGCAATACATCGCTGCGTGGCTGTCAGACAGCTTGGACACTTTACATCTGTCGGCCGGGAGCAGCCAAGCGGCGTGCTAAGTGTTAGCGTGGCGTTTTGGCCACTTAGCAAAGCTAATGAGGAATAAAAAGAGAGGAAATAATTCAGTGTGGAGAGCCGTTAGAGGCCTGCATCACACATCTTTAGAGGCTTTCAGAGAGAAGGGTTTTAACTGCCTGATCAGCATCATTAAACACACTTACCTCTTATTTATTCATAATAAATATCAAGTATTAAAGACGTCATCTGTCTGCGATAATGAAGAAAGGAGCTGATCTGAGGTTTTCAGTTACACAGATAACAATTCCAACACAATCCTGTTTTTTACAGCATTTCAGTGACTTTGCCTGAAGCAGAAGTAGACTCTAAACACACCTGTATGCTGTGCTTAGAGTTTAAAGAAACGTGAACTGATGCCTGCATCTGTGTACGAGAGAAGAAGAAGAACAGCAGTGGGCTTTCTTGTGACACCACAGAGGAGGAGGAACTTGTGGATGACGTACGTGGGCAGCTCACGATGAATTAACCTTTATTTATAAGAGTGTGATCCAAAGAGGAGGGTAGCGCCCAGAGAAAAATCAGAGAAATCTAGACTTCCTGTAACTCCTGAAACGAGAATCTGTTATCAGGTTTAAGATAGCAGGTGTGGTTTGGAGGGAGGAAGTGTTCCCGTCGGCTGCTACGGGCGTATATTTCTTGAGGTAGGCGCTATATAGCAGGAGAGTGTGCACCATCAGAACCTTTCACACGCAGGTCTCAGATTTGAGCAGATAATAAGTCCATGCTGAGGCGCCTCGGTTCAGATCGAACTGAACCACACTGCCATTCCTTTCTGGATCTTTGATCCACCCAAAGCCACGGAACATGCAAACAGACGTGAAGTGTTAATAAAATCAATCTCCACCTGGAGGAAGGTGATGATGACGTAGGTCTGTCAGGCAAAGGTCGTCTAACATTAAATCTGTTTTTCTGCACTTTCACCTCCATCATTCCTTTCTTCAGCTTTCACTATCAATTTCTTGCACTTTCATCAAGAAACCCCTAGGGTCTTCAAGCCCCCCGGTCTTTTTGGGTCTTTAGTCCTGACAGACCGGAGACATTTGTCCCTGAAGACCACATAGATCTGCTGCTTCATGATTGAATGACAAGCACAACCGTGTGTGTGTGTGTGTGTGTGTGTGTGTCTCACCCCTGTTTAGCTGTGCTGAGTTTAGGTCTGTTGATTCCTGCTTCATCATCGTGGATCCAAACCCAGACAAGTGAGCTTTGACCTCCGATGACCTCCTGAGAGAAACTCGAGAAGGCTCTCTCTCCACTGACAGACACACACGCACACACACGCACACACACGCGCGCGCGCACACACACACACACACACGAAGTAAGAATTTGTTATTTTAGGACAAAGATGTGACTGATGTCACTGATAAACATGAGATTTTAGGAGCACTGACAGCACTGAGCTGGTACCAGCGTGGCTAAGAGAGGCCTCAATAAGGACTGTGGATCAGGTCTGGGGGTGGGTGTCTATTGACGGCACAGAAGCATCAACCAATCACAGAACTGAAGCTGAGGCCCCAGCAGTGAGTCAGTCCCCATAGATCCCCATTTTTAAACATCACAGCACAAATAAACATGTTTACAGTGTGATAAAAAAAACTGTTTGATCATTGTGGATAATTTAAGGTTTAAGGTCGTGGCCTCTCTGATAGGTGGATGGAGTAAATGAATAAATCCATCCATCCATTTGCTTCCACTTATCCTTTTCAGGGTCGCGGGGGGTGCTGGAGCCTATCCCAACTGTCATAGGGCAAGAGGCGGGGTACACCCTGGACAGATCACCAGTCTGTCAAAGGGCTAACACATAGAGACAGACAACCATTCGCACTCACATTCACACCTATGGGCAATTTGGATTAATCAATTAACCTATCTCCACAAGCTGCATGTCTTTGGACGGTGGGAGGAAGCCGGAGTACCCGGAGGGAACCCATGCAAACATGGGGAGAACATGCAAACTCCACACAGAAAGACGCCAGCCGGATGGTGGAATTGAATTCAGGACCTTTTTGCTGTGCAGCAACAGTGCTAACCACCGTGCTGCCCCTAAATGAATAAATGTGCCGTTTAATAGAATTTTGTATTTATCTGAAAGTCTTTCAGAGTTTTGTTGTCTGTAATTTATTCATCGAATCTCTGTGGGATGCTGACAGTGGTCCTGTAAGTCCATCTATCTAAACACAGAGCAGATCACCCAGGAGCCCTCAGCTCACTCTGACCTTTGACCTCCTGACTGATGAGTATTTATTTAGGCTCACTTTCCCGTCGGACTCTCTTCATAACTCAGAGCAGATAAGAGAGCCATAGAAACAACCAGATTATAACAAGTTAAAACCTGAGCCGATTTCCTCCTCCGTGCTTCCTCGGTAATGAAATGAAAAGACGACTGGAGGAGATAAGAGCCTCGCACTCCTCCTCTTTTTTAAAAATCACCTGCTTCTCTCCGACCTGGAGGCTGACCAGTGCGGGCCGCCGGCCGACCGCAAGACAAAAAAATGACCCAGAAGCGGGCAAATTAATCTCTGTGGACGGCGTGAAGGACAAATCGCAGCCTCCTGCAGCAGAGTTTGGGGAAATTACACCGAGTTGTAAACAAATTTGTCATCTTAATCTGGGTGAGAGGATAGAGGCATAGGAGGGAGGAAGAAAAGCTGCGATAAGTTTAGCACAGAGTTAACTTCTCCCGCTGGAGCACATTACTGTTTCAGCACCATGCAGTCAGAGCTGTGTCCAGCCCCGCACACATCCCGGTGACGTCAAAAGTCAGTTTATCGTTCTCACAGAAGCGTACTCGGGCTTCAATTTCCGCCTCCTCGTTGTGTGCCGAGTCAGCGTGATCTGCAGGCCAGTGTCTAACGGGACGCTGTCGCCGGCTCTGTGCACAGTCAAGGTGCTCATTTAAGGACTCTGTGGGTCCCCTGACCTACACCCTCCCACAGAATCAGACAACCACTGTGACGCACACAGACTTAACCAGAGTGCGGTCAAAGTACTGACGCCATCATTTAATCGCACAGGACAGTACTCAGGAAACACAGACTGGCAGACAAAACTGGATTAAAACATTTATCTACCTTTATCCAACGATCTCTCCAGAGCTCTGACTTTCTTCCTGACCAGAGTGAGAATGACAGTCTGACCCGTCTGCTTCATCACCTCCTGAACCTCCTGGTTGGTCAGACCGTGCAGACTGACGCCGTCCAGCTGTGACAGACAGACAGAGGAGGAGAAAGAACAAGATAACATGAGTGCAACCGACCAAACCGAAGCCGATCCAGACCACATTCAAGAATCAGCTGAAATGATGGGGAACCAGGGAAGTGGCAGACGGCTCAAACAATGAAAGATTTTTGATTTTTATTAGCCTGAATGTGCCTCAGTTTTTCTGCAGAAGCCTCCAGGACCACTTTCCTCAGAGGAGCTGTGCAACTTCAACAATTACAACCTTTTATAGCATCACATAACTAATCAATAACCAGCCACCATATGCGGCATGGCAGGAAACTTATCCGGCAAACATTTACTCAAGGTCATGTTTTACTTTGGCTCACGCTTCATCCGTGCAAGAATCCATCCATGCACACCTGCCCCCTGAAGCCCAAACAAGAAGGAGCTCATTCCTGCTGCTCGTATTCCTCAGCTTCATTCTTTCCGTGTGGATGCGGCGCTCACAGCCGTGGATGAGTGCACGAATGTAGACCACCCAGTAAATCAACAGCTTCACCTATACGCCCAGCATTCATCTCCACAACATCACCATCACTGCTGACACCACCAGTCTGTCATTCTCCTCCCCCACCTCCCCTCATTCTTCAACAAGACCCAGTGACCCTTCAGTTTTCTATGTACTTACCAAAAACATTCATGTCTGACGAGAACAGACGCTCGTTGAGTGCTAAATCTAAGCACTCATCTTTTTCAAACTCTTCTTAGAACTAAGCGTGCAATCTAAATACTTAAACTCCCCGACCCACAGCAAGTTGGGAGTCACAAACAGAGACCACAAGCTGAGACCGCCAAACCCGATACCTCCCACAAACTCTGTCTTTAAAGATCAAGAACAGAAATGGTTCAAAATCCAACACGTGCCCAACATGAATAACTGACTGCTGGCAAAGCAAACCAAGCGCTCACTGTGGTCAGAAACCCATCCTCCTGAAGCACCCCCACAGCACAGCAGAACACAAACCGGGTTCACTTATAATAAAACAGTAGCTTTCTTACAGCGATCAGTCGGTCTTGGACTTGGATGTTCCCACTCTGATCCGCTGCGCTGCCGGGAACCACGTGTTTGACAAACACACCGACTGCATCTGAATGGAGTGAGAGACAAACACAGAGAGAGAGAGAGAGAGTTAGTGCTATTACCTCACAGCAGGAAAGTCCTGGATTCAAATCCACCACAAATATTCACACACAAACAACTGAAAGAAGATTTCATAGTAAAAGTTTTGAAAGTTTCAGTTGGTCTAGACTTGGACTGAAGGCTGACGGTCAGAGAGCCTCATGTGACAGAGCTCCGTGTGATGTCACAGAGCTCCGTGTGATGTCCTTCTGGGACAACACAGTGATTTCTCTCTCACCTTGGCTGGTCAGAGGGTTGTAGCCGACGATGGAGATGCCGAGGCTCTGTCCTTCCATCTTGGAGAGAGTAACCTCATGGATCTCGTATCCTTCCAGATTGGGCTGAAACCACACACACACACACACACACACACACACACACACACACACACACACACACACACACACACACACACACACACACACACACAAGAGTGAGCTTACATGTTTTGGCTCAGAGTCACCATGTGCTTGTAAGTTCGTATGAACTCACCGCCTTGCTGAAACGGCGCTGGGGCGGGTTCTGGGGAGGCAGCTTGGGGGTTTGGGGTGGTAAAGAGGAAACGGGGGCAGAGACAGGAGGTGGTGGGGGAGGAGGTGCTGCTGCTTGTTGACCTTGGGGGTCTCTGGCGATGAGCATGTTCACGCGGCTCCCGCACCCCTGCAGCACCTGGACTACCTGGTCGCTGGTGAGGCCGCTGGTAGGTGTTGCCCCGATTCGAAGGATGTGGTCACCTGTGCGGAGGCGCCCATCCTGATTGGTGGAAAGCACACAGATGAGATCAACACACCCCAGTATTCGGTCTACTCTGGGGTAAAACTGGCCGTAAACATAAGCTTCAGCGCTCTGACATTTCTCGCCGTTGGGATTTAACGCTCATGAGAGCACGCAGTGTGATTACACACAGACCCCCAGAACATGAGGCTGAAGACCAGCTCTGAGCTTTAACAATCCCAGTGATTCTCTTCACACAGACGTATTTCTTATATTTTAAAGTCTAAACTCACCCTGTCGGCCACACCGTTTCGTATCAGCGTCCTGACCACCACTCCGGACGTCTTCCCACCCACGATGCCGAAACCAAGACCAGATCCATCATTGACCAGCTCGATCTCCTCCACGTGGTCCCACTGATCCTGCAGCACAGACACGGGGTTACTGAGCGGAGCACAGAAAGTTCAGCGAGATCCTCAGAACCAGAAAGCAGACAAAGCTAAAGCATCAATATACACGAGTCCTGCTTTAAACTTTATTTAACTAGAAGCTCTAGTGTATCAAAGCTTCTTTTACAAACAAATCAAAAAGACCAGATCAAATTAATAATCAGTGAAAAAAGAGAATGTTTTTACTGTGTTTACTTTCTACTCAAACTACATTTATAAATAAAGATCATTATTTTAGACTGTGCACATTTTTCTTCCGCCCTCTTTGAACTGCAGGTTTTACTTTGCCATCACAAGACTTTTCCACTGGTTCCAGATCTAGAAGAGGTTCCTGGTTCATGATCTAGAAGTGGTTCCCCGCCCTGCCAGAATAAACACTGGTGTTGACATGCACAGCAACATTTTGTCAGTGACAGACTGACTCTGTGGCAATGTGGGTGGATCCCGTCGGGCACAGAGGACCCACATCACACGCTGATGTTAACATTTATGTGTTCTGCCTAAAGAGAGGAGAGCCATGTTTCTGTTCAAGTTTAATGTTACAGTAAAAAAGAAAACCATGTTCTCATTGCAGCTTGTTGATCAAAGTTATACCATGAGTGCTGTGCTCCTCCAGCTCGTCCACACCAAACGTCTACGGTTCATCTTTTGCCCGTCGTCCATCAGCTGGTAGTTTTTCAGGAATTTCAGTGACAGCTGAAAATAAAACTGCAGCCCTGAGTTAACAGATGTCATTCTTCTGAAGCTGCAGTGCGGGCAGAGCGATTTGACCCGATCAGCCCTCTCAAAGCTGCAGCTGCATCTTTTAAAAGCAGCTCCGTGAGTTTATCTTCATGTTTCTCAGTCTGCAGCCAAGCCGCCGCCTGGTTATCTGTCCCAAGGTGAAAGGTCATTAGAGTGAAGCAGGTAATTACCAGCTGAGAGCACTTCCTCCTGCCTGATAGCAGCTACTGATCAATGAGAGGCTGCAGAGGCTGCTGCTAACACGCACGAGCAGCATTTATGAAGTGGCTGCACTCTTATTACAGTTTCCATCTGATAGACGAGGCCTTCCTCAGTATAATGAAACCAACCTCCTCCTCCTCAGCTGGTCCCAGGACGCTGGAGATAAAGCTCGATGTGTTGGACGCTCTGTGTTCAGGAGACGATGTGGTTTTAATGAAGCTCTCTTATGTTCCTCACAGCATTCCTCCACCCTTAGACCTTTTTCTGCACCTTTTAGTTATAATGAGACATCCTGATGCTTTGAGGTACCTCAGTGTTTCAACCCCATCTGATGAGACGTGACAGCCGACATCAGACTGAGCTTCTCAGGTTCCCACTGACTGTCAAACATCTCCAACCTTTCTGGACCCCTGATGCCGCCTCCTCCTGGGCACTGAGCAGGGTGTGGTAGAGTTAGTTTAATCCTGATGCAGAGGACCTGCTGCACACTCTGAGAGGAGCAGAAACACCTTCACTTTTACCTGAGAGCCTGACGGTTTCAGGGCCTCTGTGCTCACAGCAAACACTGATCTGATTTAAGCGTCTCTCTCATCTCTGCTGCACTCTGGCTGAAGTTAAGTGATAAATAAAAACTATTAAAAGCCTCCTCCTCACTCTGCTCTCACACGGTTACTGAGCTGAGTAGAGGAGGACGTTAAAACGTGTGCGAACTCTGACATTTAAATAAGCCGAGAAGATTTCAGGAAGAAAAACGAGGTGTCGGACCGAGCGGGGCCGGACTGTTAATGCGAGGCGCGGAGCACAGGTTAGCCCGAGCTGTAATCACTCTGCTCCGCTCTATTGTCGGGTCATTATCACGCAGAATTACACTGTCCCCCTTGTTTGGTACCCTCCTCCTCACGCTTTGCTGGATCCGAGCCATGCTGAGGGCCTCGGATGCCCGCTTTTGTTTTATTCATGTGCTGCTTCTATTGAGGTCACGTTTAATGGAGCTGTGGGCATAAAAACACAGCGCTGCACTGGGCTTTAAGGCCGTTCTCCTGGCCCGGCTAACCATCAGTTAGTGAGCTCTGCTGGGCCGCTTCAGGTGTCTCTGACCTGCCATCACAGGCGACGTGCTGCACTGGCGTCAAAACTCATTTCTGCTGGAATCCGTCCGCCACCGCCAGGAAATTCTGCACTATAAAGCCTGCCATAAAGAACGCCATAAATCAGCCAGTCACGCAGCTTTTACTGCTTCTGTCTATTTAGTGAGTATTATCCCACCATTGATTAGGACGCCGTGACGGCGAACGCACTCAGGAGTTCAGTGGTAATTTATGGCTGTGCTAAAACTGTTGAAAAGCAGAAAGCACAGGGATAAAAAAAAAAATAACAGATTGTGCAGTTAAAGAAACCTGGAAGGGCCTTTAAGACTGGCCGAGCCTAACTTCAGCAGAAGTTACCCACAGGAAGTTGCTAAACTTCTCTGGGCTTCACCATCAAAAGAGAGAAAAACTGATCTGTGGAGCAGTGAGGCGTTGGCTGCCGGCAAAATACAACAATCACCATGACCCTCCGTCACATCCACACACCGGGTTTTGCTGGCAGGTGAGACTCACACCTTAAGACCAGACCTGGGTGATCTCGTGGAAAAAAACACAACTGCTCTCAGGTGCTAGTTATCCTGGTTTGTTCCCGAATGAATGAATCTGAGCCAGCTCTCACTTCATGTTTCTAATGCACAGCTGCTCCTCCGGCAACACAATAATCCCTGAACACACTCACTGACCATTATCGAAGCCACTCCTCTGTCCTGTGTCTAGCACGGATGGACAGATGAGGAGTTCTGATTCTGGACAAACTGATGACTCTCTCCATTCCTGCAGCTGAACCTATTCCAGGGAACTTTATGAGCTCTTCTGGCTCCAGGAGCAGATCAGTGCGTAGCTTTGAGCCTGAGCTAACGTTCAGTCTGCTGTACTGGAGCAGATCACACAGAGAAATCCTGACAGGCGAGGACACTGCAGCCAGAGGTGCTCTAGTGCAGCGGTCCCCAACCTTTTTTGCACCACAGACCAGTTTATGCCCGACAATATTTTCACGGACCGGCCTTTAAGGTGTCGCGGATAAATACAACAAAATAAAACTAGTACCGGTACCGAAAAAAGAAGATTTATTCATAACACACGTGAAAAGACCCAGGAAAACAGAGTTAACGATAAAAACTATAACAAAATAACGCTGAAAACCGATAAAAACCCTGAAAGCCACACATTTCACACCTGAGCCTCAACTCTCGCGGCCCGGTACCAAACGACTCACGGACCGGTACCGGTCCGAGGCCCGGGGGTTGGGGACCGCTGCTCTAGTGGACCCTAACTTCTTACAGATGGCAGACTGAGAACAACCTGAAAGGGTCATGTGATGACCCCAGATCACCCAGGTACCTGCAGGTACTGATCTGAGGCCAATTAGCTGAACATCCTAGAAAATGAATATAAAGTCTGAACAGCAACGCCTCTGCTATAGGAAGTCAGCAGTTTGAACCCTAACCCCTGCCCCCCAGTCTTCAGGAGAAGATGCAGTAAGTCGAGGGCACCTGAAGCTCCAGGTAAACGTGTGAGCTGCTCCATCACGTGACTGTGACGACAGTGGCGTGTCCAGCGGGGTGGCCTGGGGGGGCACAGGCCACCCCCCCAACCAGACTGGCCACCCCAAAGGCAAAACAATAAAATTCAATCAAATATCCGATTATGTTTTCACGGTGAAGCTCAGATATCCGAGTGTAAGTGAATGCAGCATCGGCTTCTGCACTATGTGCATCACGTTAGCAAAGGTAGGAGAGCCAAGCACAAAAGACGGCACTGCAGGAAAAGAAAATGAGGACAGAATAAATGTAAGTAATATTAAGTTTGTTGAGTTTAGTAAACTTTGGTGAAATTAGAATACCAAGGAAAAAAATAACACTTAAAGAATTATTGCAGCCGTGGAATATATCAGACAGTATGCTACTGAGGGCAGCTAACATAAGAGTTATGAGTTATAAGATGTAATCTAAGTCGTAACATTGCTGTATGGAGCTGCAGATTTGGTTGCAGGTTAACATAGCTGGACTGGCCATCGGGCACATGCCGGGTGACTTATTTATTTATTTATTTTTGTAATGGCATGAACAATGAGAGGTGGTGGATTGGCCAGATGCAGGTCGATGTGTAAAAATAACTCAGTTGTTTTTAGGTGGTTATGGCGGAGCTTCCACAGAGGCCAGCAGGTGGATGAGGGAAGGGGAGGCAGGAGGGGAGGCAGGAGGAGAGCCCCGAGGCGGCCGCCGGTCCGAATGTCAGGTGAACTGAACTTCAGGTAAGAAGTTATGACCTGCAGTCTATCTGGGTCAGATATAAACCAAGTTTAGGTGTAGTTTATTTTCGTTGTGCTGACTTTTTACTGTCAGTTACAATAACTGGTACTGTGATGGAGAAACGGGTTTACCTTTTAGGTGACATGAATGAGTTGAAGGGAAGTTATGAACTGTTTCTGAGAGACAAATAAC